AAACCTCAGCCACAAATGGCTTCTTGTACTTTTGTTGTTGTTACTGCCACCTACTGGCACATCAGAGATCCTCGGAAACGGTGGGGGAAAAAAAATTGCATGAAAATATTCCTAGCGTGTTAAAAACTGACACCATTTGTCCTTCCTTCATTTCCATCAGCTCCTCTGGTGGGAATGTTTTTGTTCGGTGTGCCCACTGCAACGTTTTCCAACAGAAACCCCTTCAAGAAGCGGCTGAGTTGTAGAGAAGCACTGATTTATGTTGTGTGCTGGCAGTAGCAGCTGTTGGTGCAACATTAAGATTGATAGCAGAACCACAGAGAGCATGTAGATTTACTTTAAAACCCACATCTAAGTTTCACCCTGCGTAAATATTTCTTTTTGCTGGGAAGAGTTGCATCAAGCGTTGAGTGCATTCCAGCTGCAAATATTGTCTAAATTGATTCTGAAACATTTTTTCCTCATGAGTAAGGAGGTTTGACGCAGAGCTCGCCTTGATTCCCCACCACCTTTCTCTAAAACTCGACGTTTCTCCTTTTTCAGCCGCCGTCTAAGAACCGCCGTGAGAGGTCTGAGCTCAAGCCGGACTACTTTGACCCCGCTTCCATCATGGATGAATCGGTAAACTTTTAAGAGTTTTTTTTTTTTGTTTTGTTTTGTTTTGTTTCCCCCCCTCCCATCCTCTCCAGACTGTTTTATCGCTTGGCAAACAAATCCCAGTATTTTCATTATGCGAAGCTGAAATTAGTGGCTTGTAAACGAGAAGTTTGATTGGACAACGTTCAGCGGAGTAGAGTCGTTTTTTTTGGCCACACTCCCGGCGCTGAGCGATGTCTTGTGAAACCTTCGGAAAGGTTCATTTGACCAGCTGGTGGCCAAGTGCAACATTATTGGGCCCTCTCTGTGCTGCGATTAATGCTAGTGTAAACAACCTACAGACTGCAAGACCGGCCCCTGAAATTCTCCTTTCAGCTGGCAGAAAGGGAACATGGGGACCTAATGTAGTGTTTTTTGTTTTTGTGTCATCTAAAACTGGGGCTTTAAAATCAAATCAGCAAACGGGTTCACTTTGCTTCAGTTTTTCCGTCTGTTGTGGCTGCCAAAAGAAAAGGAGGAGGTTATATTTTATTTTTTTAAGCACAAATTGAATGTAATCAGTTTAGAGGGGCACAAAGGAGAAAGAAACAAACGGTAACTACGACAAACTTTTTGCCGGTTGCAATCATGAAAACATTGTGGTGTCGTTCCTCTAAAGTCATTACTTCTTTTTCTTGTGTAGTTTTGGGTTTTCAAAAACAAACAGTGGGGGCCGGCTTTAACCCTAGAAGAACTCTGACAACTTCTACCAGTCTGATCAGTCAGAAAATCACATTTAACCGTGTATCTGCAACTTGTGTTTTGCTTATTTGTGGCAGAGCTGCTGAATACGTAGTGCCTAGCAAAAGTTTTTCATGCTACAAACTTCATTTTGTTTTCTCATGGTTTTATGTGACTTGCAAACATAAAGTAAAGCATCGTATAGAAACACAAGGATGCCTGGTTTTCAAAATTTATTTACCAACATTTGATGATTTGATGCTTTGATATTTAGGCCCCTTTTACTCTGATGGCTCAAAATAAAAATCAAACAAGTGGAGTTTTGGAAGCGACCAAAATAGACTTTTGTGACAGAAGGGCTCTTTGGAATTGATGGGAAGAAGATAAATCCAGGGCCTGGATGGAGGCAGAGGTTGCACAGTTTAATTTTTAAATAGTTTTTATTTCTCTCTTACTCGTGCTATAATTTTTGTCATACCTCTTAAGTTTATGTCAGGTTTTGTGCATCTTTAAAAAACCTGACTGTTTGTGTCCTACATTTTTTTTTTATTTTTTTATTTTTTTTTTTAAGTTTGTTAAAATGGCCTAGTTAAAGTTCAGGCTGCAATCAAATTGAGAATCCACGGCACGGTCTTTAAATTAAAAAAACTTTCAGCTGAATGTTCTCCAATGAAGAACAACCCTGAGAATCATCTTCAGAAGACCACAGTTTTCAGTCAGAGGCTTCTTCAGAGTCGCTGTAAGACAGACTGCTACAGGAAAGAGTGCCTGCCTACAGTTTTCAGCATCTACAACAATTTGAAGAAAAGTTGCAACATTTGATATGTTTTTTTTGTTTTGTTTTGTTTTTTTTTTTGTTTGTTTTTTTTTTTTAATTAATTTGATCTATTTTGGAAAGAAAAATGGAACATTAGTTTCCTCTTCCTTCTAATTATCTACTTTGAGTTGGTATGTCACATAAATCACAATCACATTTGTGGTTGCAACAATATAGTTACAAAAAAAACAAAACAAAGAAAACTTGCATCTGGAAAGAAGTAACCCATGTGTGTGTGTTTTTTCTCCTAGGTCCTCGGGGTGTCCATGTTTTAAGCTAAACTCCAGAGGATTCTGACGCTGGGATTGCAGAAGAGACGCTTTGTATTTAAAGAGAATTATTAGATGCGAAAACAGAAGTGTTTTCTGTAAGAAAAAAATAAAATAAAAATAACGGAAAAAAAAAGAAACAAAACAAAACACACACAGGAAAAAAAAAAAAAAACTACAAACACATTCTGGCTTGTACTCCACGTGGACCAATGACAACCCACACTCAGTGTTGCTTGCTCAGAGAGGACTTTGTTTCAGAAACTTTTACTTTTATAATCTTGGGTGAGCTCTTCCTGTTCGAAGCTAGTGTTAAGCAGGCCACTTCCAAAACTTATTAGAAAGCAAGACGCGTCTGAAGAGAAAAAAAAAATCAATAGCTTTTCTTCTTCTTCCTCCTTTTTTTTTTTTTTTTTTTTTTTTT